GGCAGCCACTTCCTGGTAGTAGGTAGAGAGACCTTCCCCCTTTCCATAGCTGGTGGGAAGGGTTTTTTTCCCTGGAACACGACTCGCTAATCAGTTTGAGTCTAAATTACTGCAGTTATGCATTGGTTTCCAGACAACCCTTGTGTGTGTGTGTGCGTAGGGACCCACTGCTGAAGGGGCCCCACTGCTACAGAGACCTAGGACCACGAACTCAACTCCAGCAAGCACAATTAGGAGAGTTCGCGCGTGTTTCGGTGAGAACCGCCCTCTTTTCCGCTGTTTCAACATAGGTACAGAAAGACCCGCCACTGTTTTTACTCTGACCGGAAACAACGACGTAGGAAGGAAACCAGTGCGTAAGACAGCAGCCCGCGGCGGCACGAGTCAGTCGAACGCGAAGTGGGCCAGCCCCAGCATCCTAAAATGAAACTACTAATTTTAACTATGTGGTTGATTGTACCAATATGTCGTGATATGGCGTGGTTTGAGCCAACATATTGGGCTTATAAGGACGTAGTTTGAGCCAACATATTGGGCTCAGAATGGCGTGGTTTGAGCAAACATATTGGGCTCAGGACGTAGTTTGAGCAAACATATTGAGCTCAGAATGGCGTGGTTTGAGCAAACATATTGGGCTCAGGACGTAGTTTGAAATAACATCTTGATATTTCTGCACAGGAAGACAAGATACGTCAAGTTAGTGTAATTCAAGTGATTTAGTTTGAGAGGTTACACGTACAAATGATCACGAGTCTCTGAAGATTATTCGCTTGTTAACTCGCGAGAATGCGCTTGACGGTTGATGGCCGTGAATGATTGTTATTCATAAATAAACGTATATTTTACATTTTAAATTTACAACAGGAATTTACAGTCATTACGTTAGCCTATGAGGCACATGTAAAAAAAATATAACATTCAACTACAAGTGTAAAACATTGGCAGGAATCATGAAGTTTCAATTACGAATTGTATAGTTTATATACGTTATGGGCCCTTTAGCACAGTGGTCTGCGTCTTCGGCTCTCAAGTGAGGGGACCCGGGTTCAATCCCCAGACGGGAGAGAAATGATTGGGTACGTTTCGAGTTACCTGATGCCTCTGTTCAAATATCAGTAAAAATAGGTACCCGGGAGCTAGGGGAATGTTGTGGGTGGCAATCTAGGCAGGGTCATCAGTCAGTCGGCCTTGGTGGACCTCAATAATCCAAAGTACAGACTTCTTATACCCGAAAATGGGATTATTACTGCATATACATCAGATACAGTGCATATACATCAGATACAGTGCTTATACATCGGATACAACCCACATCAAATACAATACACAAATATCAGATACAGTACTCATACATTGGTGTATGTGTATCACTAATTCAACATCTTCAGAAGGTGGAGGAACTTTGAATGAAGTTCAGAGCAGACTAGTGCAACAGATCTAAATTCTAAAGGGTTTCAAATGCCCGTCAAAAAGCTGTCTCTTAGTGACAGTACCGTACACGCCGGCGGACAGGACGCATATGCTCGTCCTCCAATTCAATTCAATGTAATTTCTTTCTTTATTATGCACCCCATACCCATTCCGTGGGCGTAAAGGATTACAGAGGCACATAATCGGTTCAGGAACTGAACCCTCTAGTTCGTTTAGCTAAGCAAATAACAATCTTTTGATGCTAGTTCCGCCACCAACAAAGTATACATTATATTTTCTTGTACCAAATCACAATCATTGTAAAATTAGGTGCGTCCTATACACTGACAAATACGGTAGTGACCCCATAATGTCCAGGGGTATATCCTTGCGTTTCCTGCCGACTTTGTTCCGTTCTGTGGACCATTTCCCACACAATACTTGTTCTTAAGTTGTGTATATTGCTAAAGTGGCTAGAACTTTGCTAAGCAACTCGTTTTCCTACTAGAACGTCGCATTTTGACGTATACTCTAAGGCCAAAAAATCGTCGTACTAGAAAATAGTAGCGGCTCGCGGAATTGACACACTGTCCCGTTTTCTGTTTTGGGTCCTCTGGTAGGGTAGGATAAAGCTGGACTTTAGTATGATAGTTTCTTGACGTTGAGGAACCTTAAGAGGACGGGCTACTCCAAGTCCAACAAGGCCAGTGTGCACTTAATTACTCCTTCAAGGCTGACGACCTCTTATCCAAGACGAAGGTGTTGTTAAAAGTCCTCACCGAAGGCGTCCAACAGCCTGGTTGACCAGTCCAGCAACGAGGAGGCCAGGTCGACGACCGGGCCGCGGGGGCGCTAAGCCCCGGAAACACCTCAAGGTAACCTCAAGATAAGACACGTAGTCCGGTTAACAATATTCTCTCATCCGGACAAGATGCAAGAGATAAAGCCGGTAAACATGGGGAAAACGAAACTAATAAAGCAATTGTCAGAACAAAGCACTAAGCCGGTGTACCAAGACATGAACGTAACTCCAAGAGGCCTTCTACGATCCAGGGTCGTCGCTTCGTACACGAATAAGTTTCCTAGAGTGCCTCCGTTATGCCCAGCTTGTGACGCAAGATTCGCGTCACGGCCTAAGATTTCAGACTTCAGAGAAGCTCTCTGCTTGAGGTTTCATCTGAGACATCAGGACTAAAAGTCTTAGATACTAAAAACTAACAAGGGGTTAAGAAGACCAGAATGAAAAGGAATCGATACACATTATTGAAGAGGATAATGAAAGACCAAGCTTGCCTGGGGAAACAACAGGTGTTGGGTAACCAGGTAAACTCGCAATACATTAACGTTTCCTTTCGTATGACGTCACCCAAAGTTCTGACAGGCGGTTTTCAATTGTGTTATGAAAGAGTACCGCAGCTCACCACACGAAAGGTTTATCCCTGTATGTAATTACCTAAGTGTAATTAGAGCTACGCTCGTGGTGTCCCGTCTTCCCAGCACTCTTTGTCATATAACGCTTTGAAACTACTGACGGTCTTGGCCTCTACCACCTTCTCACCTAACTTATTCCAACCGTCTACCACTCTGTTTGCGAAAGCACACAGTGTGTGTGTGTGTGTGTGTGTGTGTGTGTGTGTGTGTGTGTGTGTGTGTGTGTGTGTGTGTGTGTGTGTGTGTGTGTATTTCACACGAACAAAGCATCACAGTAGGCGAATCTCTTCAATGTTCAGATATTTGTTTTTATATAATTCATCAAAATTACAAAATCCTAAACATGATCTAAACAACCCAGGGAACATCGGAAGCAAACTGATGTATACATATAATATGTATACATACATAATATGTAATCATGTAGACATAATTACATATTATGGGTAATATGTTACATATGGGTACCATAATTACATACATATGGGTACCATCTCAGGTTGCGTTTGTAGGGACCCTTGACCTCGAAGAAGACAATATGCAGCATCCAGGGCAGCCTTGTGGGCCACCCGCATATACACACACATATTGTCTTCTACCACCCCCTATATTTTTGTATTTTCTCATTTTATCTCAAATTTTATTACCCCCCTCCTCAAAGATTACCAAATTTCCCCATGATTCACCCCACAAAAGTTGTAAATAAAAACAGGAAAATATAAGGGGTTTTCCCCACCTAGGGAAAATTTCCGATGACTACTAAGCGTTACCAAGTACCAGTAGTGCTTTAAGGTTATCTTGAGATGATTTCGGGGCTTTAGTGTCCCCGCGGCCCGGTCCTCGACCAGGCCTCCACCCCCAGGAAGCAGCCCGTTGCAGCTGACTAACACCCAGGTACCTATTTTACTGCTAGGTAACAGGGGCATAGGGTGAAAGAAACTCTGCCCATTGTTTCTCGCCGGCGCCCGGGATCGAACCCGGGGACCACAGGATCACAAGCCAGTGTGCGGTCCGCTCGGCCGACCGGCTCCCCTGAGGGCAGGAGGGGATATTTTAGGGGAACGTGGGGAAAATGATGGTCAAAGTCTAAATCACACCGTCCTTCAGTGACGGTATGATTTAGACTTTTGAAGAATCAGTGTAGAACTGAAAGGTTGACCATTGACGTTGGAGGGGTAATTATTCACCAAGAAGGGAAACGATTGACCTTGAAAGGTGATTGTTGATCTTGAAGAGTGACTGCTAACCTTAAAGGGTGAATGTTGACCACGAAAGGTGACTATCATCAATTCACCATCCACCAGTGACCTTGTGATCACTTCAACCATAACCTACCACTAGTCGTAACTGCAACTCACCTACCACCAGTAATCTTCAAACCATCAGGACTTCCGGCCAGAGAATACACTCCTGGAGGTTACCAGAGCACAGTATCTCCATCATATTAGTCTCTCCACTTACTTGCCAGAAATACTTATTTGTGACGCTAGAACACTCTTCCTGTTGTATTGTGATACACCCTTAGACGTTGTCTAAGAATCTAAGAATCAATGAGTGTCCAACACTCGGCTGGATCCTTTAGGTTTTCAAATAAGATTTAAGATTTAGTCTTGAGTAGTTAGTAGTCGCCATAGAGGCAACGTCTAAAGTTTAATTCCGTTGTCACTGTCACATAAATATGTTTATTGTTTGAGATGTGTGTCTATGTATGTATTAACACGTTGTACTGAACGGGGTGAGAATAGCTTGAGCTACCTCATCCCTTTGTGTGTATTTTACCTCAATAAACTTATTTCAATTTCAATTTCAATTTCAACTATCACATAAAAGACAAAAATTAATCAGTAGTCTTAATATTTAATAATACATTATGACCAAAATGTACATAAAGACACGTACACATACGAATGCACAATTACTTAAAATAACAAGGATTCTCTAGAGAAAAATCCTAGACAAAATAAAATAAAAATAAAAATAATTGTTATATCTTATATATTAGGACGATAAAAACCCACTCAGTAGCTTGCAGTTGTCCCATGACTTAAGCTACCATCAATTCTGTGAAAACCATGCGAGAGCGAAGTACGGAAAAGTGACGCAACAGGTCAATCCCTGAACGAGACAGCTGACGCTGCGTATATAAGGAGTCAGCCGCTGTGTCTAGTCCCCATACTCGGTGAACGCGTCGAGCCGCAAGGAGGTCTGGCGTGTGTGTGCGAGAGCGCTTGCGTGCGTGTGTGTGTGTGGAGTTACTCTTTGCACTCAGTATCATCATCTACTTACCCTCCCGCTGCTGCTGTTGCACCCTGAATATCCTCAACTGTTACCCTTGAGACATCTGATACCCTTAACGGAGTGATCAACGGGTCGACCTGCTTGATTGGTAAGTGGAAACTCGACCAAACATCACATTCACTTCACAAATCTACCACCTACGGGTTACTCATGCCCGTGCCACCTCTGGTGACTGCTTAATCTTCAAGAACAACAGACTGGTGAGTGTTCTATAAGGGCGCCAAGGTTAGGTTCAGGCCAGAGATGACGAGACTACGTACTTCCTGGTACGACATAGTCGTTGTTCTTCCTGCTGTGATAGTTCCTGATTGGTCATGTGGTCGTCTGATGGTACTAGACTGGACGTTGGACTTGAACTTTGTAGTCTGGAACTAAGTAAGTCCATATTTACAAGCATCGAGACTCCTCCCAGTATGGAATGGGTCGTTGGACGTGTTGAAAATTACATATATAGAGATTGAAGTCAGATAGATGGGTCAGTAGACTCCGATAGATGGACCAACAAACGCACACACGGATAGGAAGATCAATAGACACAAATGGGTGGCTCAATAGCCGCATACACATATGTGGATCAATACTCGTAGGTTATCAATACCTTTTTTTTAAGATATATTCCAGTGCAGGAACACACCCACACACAAACATGCACCCCACTCATCCACACACACAAACACGCCCCCACACAAACATGTACATCTCACACACACACCGGTGGAAACTTAGTTCCCAAATGAGCCAGAGACATTAGCTTTCTCCAGTGTCAGAGTAGTTAACAAATGGAATGCATTAGGCAGTGATGTGGTGGAGGCTGACTCCATACACAGTTTCAAATGTAGATATGATGGAGCTCAGTAGGCTTAATAATGAGTACTACAGTTGATTGACAGTTGAGAGGCGGGACCAAAGAGCCAAAACTCATCCCCCACAAGCACAACTAGGTGAGTACACCCCACAAATGCACACCCCCCCCCCCCACAAATACAAACACATACACATCCAACACACACACACACTTTGGAACTCAGGCCCGTTCCCCATTCATGCACTAGTGACTAGTCAACTACTGTCTTCGGTTAGAGGATAGTAGCTAATCAGAACGACAGATAGTTCCCAATGTTACTTCTAATTGAACGTCAGGGCTTAGTTCTAGCTGAGAGAATGGTCTTTTCAATGCTACCTAATTACTTCCAAATAAGCGGGTTAATTATTTGCTTGGCTATAATTATGTGGTTCATCCACATAATTATGGTGGATGATCCACCTCACACTTCCGGGTAACCCTCGACGCTATGTATACATTTGACTTGTACTCGCGGGGTCCTGCGGTCACTGTCTCCATGAACAAATCCACAAGGGCCGTGGTGAGGGTTCGAACTTACGTCAGAGAGGATTCCAGACACTGCCTTAATCGACTGAGCTACGACATGGTTAAAAGAATTGCAACCTGGAAATCATCCTGACCTACCAGGGACCTTGTCTCCATTACATTGTCTTCATAGAAACAGGGTCATATTCGGTATATATCTACACTGAAAGGAACATTAGCAATCTATATCGATAAGAAAGATTGTCTGTTCAAGTTTGGAGGCCAGAGGATCAGGGCTTCTGTCTGTTGAAGTTTGGAGGCCAGAGGATCAAGGCTTCTGTCTGTTGAAGTTTGGAGGCCAGAGGATCAGGGCTTCTGTCTGTTGAAGTTTGGAGGCCAGAGGATCAGGGCTTCTGTCTGTTGAAGTTTGGAGGCCAGAGGATCAGGGCTTCTGTCTGTTGAAGTTTGGAGGCCAGAGGCTCAAGGCTGGCATCACTCAACTTTCACACATGAAGCATGTGGGGTGTGGGCGTGTCATAGGCCAGTCGGGGTAGGTTCCAGTGCCACACTAAAAATCCAACCTCCTCCCCACCCATGCAATTTTCCTTAAGTTTGAAATAGAAAGGGGAGAATGGTGGAGAGAAGAGGGAGGGGGGGATTATAGAGCCCCCAGCATCATAACAGGAGAAACATACAAAAGGAAACAAGCTTGGTTAATTTTTCTACTCCATTTTTTCAATAATTCTCTGTCGACCAGACCACACACAAGAAGGTGAAGGGACGACGACGTTTCGGTCCGTCCTGGACCATTCTCAAGTCGATTGTGAGAATGGTCCAGGACGGACCGAAACGTCGTCCCTTCACCTTCTAGTGTGTGGTCTGGTCAACATACTTCAGTCACGTTATTGTGACTCATCGTCTGCATTCTCTCTGTCGTTTGTTTATCATTCATACTCGCATGTTTCCCTCCCACCTGTCTCAACATACGTCCAAGCTATTTAATCCTCGCATTACCTGTTTGATGACCGCGGGTGGTGTCAATACGACCACCTGTGGTCGTATTGATCAAATGTTGGCACACAGAACGCAGCATCTAGTTCATGAATTAGTTGTTGCTGAGTCTTCTCAGAGACGTGAGACCTGCCTCTCTACCCGTGTCGTAGCTCACCACCCAGGACCCCCACACTAGAGGTGGGACCTGCCCACTTTGGGACGTGGTGGGACAAGAACACTTTTCTTAACAGGAGGAGGATGGTAGGAAAAGAAATGAATGCAGATACTACTGTGGGGCCACAATGTTTAAGAGGACTGGTGGACATAGAGCCTCTTACCTGTCCACAGTTTCCTCATACCAGCGATGCTTAAATGTTTGCAGTACAGCAAATGACAGCGGAAAATGGAAGATATATTTTTCTCCCCCCCATCGCCATAATCCCTCCACCTGCCCACCCCTACCCCACGAGCTCATAGGCCAACACCTGTTGCAACACTTGCAATAACAGCGCCACCTGCGCTTATTTTCTGCTTGACACTCGCCACTGCTCTCTCTCCCTCTTCCTCCTCTCTCTCCCCCTCTCTCTCCCCCTCCCTCCCTCTCTCTCTTATACGCACATAGCTGTACATCTATATACAAATCCACAAGGGCCGTGACGAGGATTTGAACCTGCGTCCGGGAGCATCCCGGTGTGATCCTAGTGTGATCTCTGTCTGTACATCTATCTAAATGCCTCGTAATTTAGGTTCCTGAATGATGATATAACCTTCGCTAGTGTAGAGTATGATGTTATTCTGTCTATAAAAGCCTCCGTAGTTAGGTTTGGTGTTACGTCCACTCCCGGGTCTTTATTTCTAGTCATTACGAGAGGTAGCTTCCCTTCACCGTGCACTGTCCTTTTGGTCTCCTGGCACCTGTTCCCATTTCCGTCACCTTACATTTTCTGGTGTTGAACTCCAGTAGCCACTTCTCGGACCATCTCTGCTGCTTATTTCAATTATTTTGGAGAATCCTACACTCCTCATCTGTCACAACTCATTAGTTTTGCATCATCTTCAAACATCGACATGTAAGACTCAACTCCTGTAGATAGGCAATGTACATATATGAGAAATAGTAATCCCTATGGTGCAGTGGTAAGACACTCGCCCCTGCGCTTCGCCAGCGATTTGGCCTGGATTCGTATCCTGATCGGGAAGGATTGACTAGGCGCCAATCCTTAACTGTAGTCTTCATAACCTTCGTGGTTGTGTACCTAACCAGTATACATCTATGGTGGGGGAACACAGTGTAATTTTTACTTAAAAATACATTTTTTTTAACATGAAAATACTGACTTTCATAAAAGCCCAACACATCCCCCCACCCCATCTTTTCCATTATGTACTTCCATCCCAATTTCTTCTCCTTTTCCTTTTCCCTCTCTGACTTCCTTTTTTCTTGTCTGCCACAGTTCCTGTTATCTGTCACCATTCCCATTCCCTACCTCTTCCCCTCCCGTCTCCCTCCCCCTCTATACCTCCTTCGCTCTCTGCCTGCTATCCCACCCCCTCCCCGCCACCCCCTCCCCAGTACAGGGTGGAGGCGACACAATGGGAGAGAGGGAGAGGAGTTCGGCGCCTCCTTTTGCAAGATAAGATTCACAGTTGTTGGGGCGGAAGGTGGAAGGTTATCCGTGCTGGAGAGTGAAGGGTTCTCCAGGTCCCCGTCAGCTGCCCCACCACTACCCCCCACCCGGTCAAGGAGAAGGGCGGTTGGTGCAATGGGCTGTGGTGTGGGCGGGCGGGGTCCTGTGTGTGTGTGTGGAGGAGTGGGCGGGATCTCTTCGAGAGAACCGCGTAGGAGCCTCAGAGACCAAAAGGAGGCCGTTGAATGCTTTATTCACGGAGCCTGGAACAAACATCTTAAATGCCTCGAGACATCAATACGTCATCAACACAAATCCCCACTTCCAACCACTCTCGACCGAACTTACAATAATCACCAGCCACAGGCATAGCTTGACCAGAAGCATAGTTAATTAAAGTGCCAGCACGCCTACAGCAGCATGGTGGGTGAAGCAACACGTCCAGCATGATGGGTGAATCTTGGGTGGTTTAATCTTCGCCAATCAACCAATCCTACCATGGATATATGGATTGTTGGGAATGGAGGTGGCTTCCGCAACTTATACCAGTGCCCCGACCATCCGTCCTGGGTACAAGTGTTTTTTTAATATTTCTTCGACTCATTTGTGTTCCCAACTTTCATTTGTATCCACTTCTACTTTCTTTCAATTTAACGGGTCTGTCCTTGCATTCTTTGTCTATTTCCCTCGGTATCGTGTATGTTGTCATCATATCCCCTTCGTTTCTACCATCCTTTAGGGTTGCGAGATCTAGTTCAATTGAATTTTCCTCACAACTTAGCCCTCTTAGCTCTGGCACTAATCGTATTGCAAATTGTGCTTCACAAGGTGCGGGTTACATGCCGGTGTTCCATATTTCGAGACCAGGAGGGAACACGGCAGCAGGAGGGGACGTGGGAGGGACACGAGGAAGGCAGGGGGGAGGGAACATGTGGGAGGGAAGACGATGGCGGCCTGGTGCTGACAGACTCATTAAAGGGAGGCGAGGAGCGAACCTGGCCAGCGATGGAGATCACAACGGCATCACCCAAGCCTCCATCTATCTCCCCCCTCACCTTCACCACCCTTCCCTCACCTTACCTTCACCACCCTCACCTTTCCAGCCAACTACCAACGACCCCTCACCCTCCCTGTACCCATCTATCATACCCTGTTTCCACTGTCTCTATCTTTTCTGTTTTTTTAGTAGAATATCGACCCCTGGTGTGCCACACCCGGTAATCAAGGGTTCATCTGTCAGGCGACCATGTGACTGACACACACAGTTTACAGTTGAGAGGCGGGACCAAAGAGCCAGAGCTCAACCCCCGCAAGCACAAATAGGTGAGTATACACATGATAGAGCCCAATAGGCTCAGGAACCTGTAGACCTTTTGTTTGACGCTAGCATCTGCTAATTACTGGGAAGATGTATTCCCAGATGAAACTCCTATTATTTCCCATTTGGCCAGCACTCTTCCCCTCAGTGGACTGCATTCAACCTCCCCCTCCTCCCAGACCACGCCCCTGTGCCAAAGTTTCCCCCGTGCAGGGAATTCTGTGAGGGGTGAAGAAATTCGTAATCATTGACTTCTGCGAGGGGATGAGACCCACCAGGAGAATGGGGGAGGGGGGGGGATCCGCACCTATCTCCCATTCCCTTGTACACACACTTCATCCCACCCCTTAAGCTCTCCACCCTTCTCCTTGTCTCCCTTTCTTTACAACCCTCCCTGGTAAGAGGCGCTTGCGACATTCCACACAACCGCTCGAAGGCATATCCACCCAAAACAAAAAATATTAGGTAAAAGTAAGATTTTTGGTGTTTATAAATGCTCTTTCTTGTGCCATATGCGTGGCTCCGAGGACCTCCGCTCTCGTCTGTCGTATGTAATGAGTCTATACTTTTTCCCCCAGCCTTCAAATGACGCCTACACGTGACCTTACCCTCTGCTACACCCTCGAGAGGGTGTGAGGGAAAGGGGGGAAGGGAGGGAATGCGAGGCGGTTTACCACAATGGAAATCAATTTAGAGGTGCTGAAGGATTCCCACAGAAGTCTTCCGTAAGAATCTTTGGGGTCGCATACAACGCGGTCCGCCTCCCCACCCCCAGCTCCCCTGTCCACTTCATCAGCAGCTGTGTGTCCCTCGCCATGGGTGATTAGGTGGTGAATAACCACCCAATCACCCATCTAACAATTCACCTAATCATCACCGAAAAAAGCGGGAGAAAAGGAGAAAACCCCAACCTCCATATAAAACTTTGACCCAAATATTACAGTAACAAGGTTATCGCGAATAACCGAACTCAATTACGGGCTCACTATAGCCCGTGCTACATGGACATTTCGTTCTCCGTAGCTAAATCTAAAACGACAACAACATCGTTACAGATATGGCAAATTCAGCTTCAAACTCACATGAGATCATCCCTATCACTCACACTCACCTGAGAACTCACGAAAGACTTCGTCACACGCACTCTGAAGGGCTGAAGAGTGGGAGCCATAGAGGCTCCTCACCAGATTTAAGCCAGAGGAGGCGGGCGATCTGATGAGGCGGGTAGGAATGGGAGTCGGGAGTCCATATCTTATACAGGAGCGGGAATTCCTGTGGTCTGAGAATTCCCGGCACGCGTCTCATTGTCGGCGACAGCCTCACGTAGGGAGGGAGAAGAGAGAGAGAGAGAGAGAGAGAGAGAGGAGAGAGTCGGGGAAGGGGAAAGATATGTTTATATATTTGTAAGGGGGTGACACCCTCTTCTCTTCCAAGGCGGCTGTGCTCATTGCACACACATGATATCATTTAATGAGGAAGCCAAGATATCTTCATCGTTCTTTAACCACCTCCCTCACCAGAAACCCTCTCCCTCCTCCTCCTACCCATCTAAAGAGGAGTTCCCCTCCCCCCCCCCCTCATCCTCCGCTTGGGGTCGAGGACATCACACTACTTCCCGCCCTCTGAGATAGTTAAGATTCCCTCATAGAGATGGCGCTACGTGGGGGCCTTGTTTGTCTCCACGTGTCTAGTGTCGCCCCATTACTTCCTTACCCTCCATTATTATAACATTGCCCGCTTATCCGGACGTCAGTAATAACATTATCCACTTATCCGGATGCCAGTAACAGCATTATCCACTTATCCGGATGCCAGTAATAGTATTATCCACTTATCCGAATGCCAGTAATAGCATTATCCACTTATCCGGATGCCAGTAATAACATTACCCACTTATCCGGATGCCAGTAATAGCATTATTCACTTATCCGCATGTCAGTCAAAATTTGACTAATTTTCGGCCAACTAGGTCCTCCAAACTAAATATAACATCCTTAAAGAGACCTAAACTAATTTCTGAACATTAACTTCCACATAATCTATTTTTTTGTTGAGGAATTGCCTTAAATTCTACAGTAGATAAGTTATAAAATGATGACGCTGATAATTGTTATTTCATCCGACAGGTGAGAGGAGACTATGCTCTGTGGCCAGTGAGACGTGTTTTCACAGCTGAAGCAGGAGGACACAGATCCCCCAAACAAACCCGCCGATCTTAACTTAAACCTAGAAGAAAAACACAGCGTAACCCACCACCTCGCTAGTCAAGATATAGTCATTCCTCAACAACGCTCGGCCAAAAAAAATACATTTAAGACCAATAAAAAAAAACTCCTTTTGCCACCATCTGCTATCAACAACCGCTACAATCGTTCCCGAGGCCATCAATCACCTTCAACCATCCTTTCCACGCAGTCAACCACCACCCTCACCACCGCATCCAGGCCACAAGCCACCACAACCACCCTTCAGACGCCCTCAACAGCAGGCATGAATTCTGAGGAGTTCCGCAAGCGGGGGAAGGAGATGGTGGACTACATCGCCAACTACCTCGACACCATCGAGAACCGCCGTGTAACTCCAGACATCGAACCGGGTTACCTCAAGCACATGGTGCCCCTGGAGGCTCCTCAGCACCCAGAAGACTGGGACAACATCATGCAAGACGTCGAGGATAAGATTATGCCCGGGGTAAGTTGTTGTTATAGACTCAACTACTAGGAACAAAAAAGTTCCAAGTAGCATGGGCTATGTTGAGTTCGTATCCTTCTCTTCTTGATCTGTACATCGCCTTGAAGGTCTGACAAATGAACCCGATTTGATTACAACATTACCATCAAATTTTTCGTTGATCTAGTGATATTTATGTAAGAATTATTGCAAGTTTATTGGATAGTCAATACTGTGCTTTCATGCATATTTAACTGTCAACAATATCAATGCCCTTCAGCTTTGATAATGACATGCATCAAAATATGATAAAAATAGCATTTTACATTTGCCAAGCGTACATTCAATTATTATTTGCCTGATAACTTCAAAAATAGCCACAGATATGCAGGTGATGAGTCACAATAACGTGGCTGAAGTATGTTGACCAGACCACACACTAGAAGGCGAAGGGACGACGACGTTTCGGTCCGTCCTGGACCATTCTCGTTCCACAATCGACTTGAGAATGATCCAGGACGGACCGAAACGTCGTCGTCCCTTCACCTTCTAGTGTGTGGTCTGGTCAACAATCAGCCACAAATACTTAATTTCAAAATAGCCTAAAGGCAGTTTTAGCATGAAGGCGGCGAACTTCCCCCAGGCGAAGGCCATTGTTTTGACATTTGGTCTTGTTGGAGCAGGTGACGCACTGGCAGCACCCGAGGTTCCACGCCTACTTCCCCTCCGGCAACTCCTACCCCAGCATCCTGGGGGACATGCTTAGTGATGGCATAGGATGCATCGGCTTCTCTTGGGCAGCCTCCCCCGCCTGCACCGAACTGGAGACCATCGTGCTCGACTGGCTTGGTACGTCATCTGTGCTTCCTTCTTTATCTACCTCCCTATACCTTCCTGCTCTGCCTCCCTCACTATTGCTTCCTTCTACTTCCCTACCCATACCTTCTTCCCTTTTCTACCCTTTTCCCAATAACCTCTCTCATTCTCTACCTCCCTCCCCTCACTGTATCTTCTTTTCCTCCTCTTCTCACCATCAGTCACCCTTCTACGTGCACCTCTTCCGGTCACCTTCAATTTCAATTTTTCGGTCGCTTTCAATCCATTCTCTAATTGTTTACGTTCGACGTGTCTCTCTCTCCCATCTACTCTCTTTCAAACGTGTTTCTCCCCCATCTATTCCCATTCTCACATTCTCCACAACTCTCGGAGCGATAGTTGTGGAGAAGTTAGAAGATAGTTGTCCCCTCCACTGCCAGCATGCACAAGCACTATCAGAAGCTCGCTCCTTAATGAGGAAATTCTATAAATGATTTCATAACTTCTTTACGACAAATTCAGCGTCTCTTCACCTTATACCCAGAGTTTCTCCACACCTTATAACAATACCTGGAGGCCTGTCTTCGTCTGGCAAGGCTCACGCAGCCTTAGGGGGCTCAGGTGGAGCAGAGTTTCATCACCAGGCAACAACAGTAAACAGTACTTGATGGGACTACTAATTCACGTGTTTTGTACTTCCCAACAGGCAAGATGGTGGGCCTGCCCGAGGATTTCCTGTCTTACAGTGAGAACAGCAAGGGCGGCGGAGTCATACAGGTGAGAAACATGTAGTCTGTATATCATACTTCCATTGTTCTGGTCCAAGAACGCTGGGCAAGTTCTCCAAGAACAGAACCAATGTTATGCAGAGGTTTCAAAATGCATAAGAAGTTATATTTTCCTTTCTGTTAAATTGTGTTATGACTAATTTAGGGGAATATTACTGCTTAAATACATTCTCCATAGACAAAAGTCTCGATGCAAATGAAAAAAACTTTTTATATGGGTTTTGTACACTACCTCTTACCCTGCAAGTACCACCTTTCTCATCCGAAAGTCACTTCCCCTCTCCCCACCTCCCTGTGGGAGGGTGAGAGTTGACGGGAGGGGAGCGGAGCTCTCTCCCCTGCCCCAACTTTCTCACCCCCTACCAACCACCCCAACCCCCATCCCCCTTTACCGTGCTGCTTGTCAGTGGCTGGTGATGAATGGAAAAGTTTATAAGGGAGAGCGACTTGTCTGTGTCTGACTGTGTCTGTTCCTTCTCCATCTCTCTCTCCCTCCTACTCCCTCTACCCCATTTCTCTCCCCCTCTCCCTTTCTCTCCCTCCCCCCTCTCCCCTGCACTATAGGCGACACACAAGAATCGATGCAGCCATTACTAGCCACAATGGCTCTTCCCACACTGGACTTGAGCAACAACTGAGACACATAACTCAACCACGCCAGGCCAGGTACTGAAGGAGGCTGGTTGGGTGTTTAGTGGTGGGCAGGACCTGGTGTTAAGGGAGGAGAGAGGGAGGGGAGGGGGGAGATGGTTGTCTGGGGTGGAAGGAGTGGACAAAGTATCACGGGAAAGGTGGAGAGGAAATACACACCTTGAAGATGTGTTATCTCATCTGATAGTCATTCGCCCTATCGGAAAAACACAATATGAAGGCCAGAGACAAGAGCATGTTGTTTGATATTGATCACGTGTGTGTGCTTATAACTTCCGCTCTCTCTCTCTGTCTCTCTCTTTTAGCTCGACTATTATGCATACATACTCCATACCCATCCTGAGGGTGGTAGTGGACCCCATACCCATCCTGTGAGTGGTAGTGGATTGCATACCCATCCTGTGAGTGGCAGTGGACCCCATACCCATCCTGTGTGGGGTATTGACCCCATACCCATCTTGTGAGCGGTAGTGGACCCCATACCCATCCTGTGAGTGGTAGTGGACCCCATACCCATCATGTGTGGGGTAGTTGATCCCATACCCATCCTGTGAGTGGTAGTGGATCCCATACCCATCCTGTGTGGGGTAGTTGACCCCATACCCATCCTGTGAGTGGTAGTGGATCCCATACCCATCCTATGGGTGGTAATAGGACCCCATTGTGTGTACACAATCTACAACAGGCAAACTGGGGATACCCTGACTTGCATTGTGGGCATTGTGTCTACCTATTCACAGTCGTCCTTAGCTTGAGTACTTAACAGAAAGGCATAACCACGGATTGTAGCTCTTGGTCCCTTGCGAACTCCACTGCGAGATCTCGTTAAATGTGTAATAATGGTTTCTAAATCTGACAGTGTTGGAGACGATCGGGAGGTGAAGCCTTTATAAGGTAAATGAAGCCTCTGAACGGGAAGTGACCTGATCTGTTTACTCTGGAAACACACAGACCCACTTTATTACCATTACCACTTGACAGAGTTCAGACAAAGTGGTTTGGATTGCGCTTAAGGGGAATTAGTCCAGGCACGCGTTGACGGAGAATGTTAATTAAATCACCTAGTCGCCATGATGCTAATCGTCTTCTCTGCGCAGGGCTCGGCGTCCGAGTGTGTTCTGGTGTCTCTGCTGGCGGCGCGTGCACACACCATACGCCAGCTGAAGAAGCAGCACCCGTTCGTGGAGGAGGGCGTGCTGCTCTCTAAGATGATGGCTTACTGCAGCAAGGAGGCGCACTCCTGCGTCGAGAAGGCCGCCATGATGGCCTTCGTCAAACTCAGGATCCTCGAACCTGACGAGAACCAGTGTCTGAGGGGCTCCACGCTACAGCAGGTGGGTATCCGTGGTCAGGCACCCCCTGCCACCACCACCACACACACACACACACGCATGCACGCACGTGTGTGTGTGTGTTATACTCATTGCATATTATGATATAATAGGTTCTCCCTGGTTGTTTAGGCAATCAATGACAAGGTTCAGATGACATTGTAGGAACTAATTTCCTTCTCCCTCTCCCACCTGCCACTAACAGGTGATGGAGGAGGACCGCGCCATGGGCCTCATCCCCTTCTACGTGGAGACCACACTTGGCACCACCTCCTGCTGCTCCTTCGACAACATCGCAGAGATCGGTGAGTCCTCGACTGCAGCCTCCTCCACTCCGCGACGTCCTCCTCTTCTTCCGCGTTCCTCCCCCACTTCTTTCCGCTACCTTTCCTTTGCATTAGCCGGTGCAGGGGTCGCCGTTCGATCCCCGATGGTCCATGTGGACGGTTTTTCACACGGTCCTCCTGTTTGGAGGACCGTGTGAGAACTGCCGTTTGGAGAACTGCTTGTTCTCGTAGACCTTCCAGGGAGGTAGTCACTGGCTTAGCGCTTTTCTCCGCTTGAAGCCTCATCATCTGTGGCTCTTGAAATATTATTTTCCTGCCCCCCATGTCACCAGGTGTATTTACTTACCTAATATGTCTAGACTGCGTGCATTGTGGGTATTGTTTTACGTGTGTTGCGCCACTGACACCCCGTCCCCCTTGTGTGTGTGTTGCAGGTCCAGTATGTGAGGAGTACGGAGTCTGGCTGCATGTTGATGGTGCCTACGGCGGCAACTCTTTCATCTGCCCTGAGCTGCGGGGCCCCATGAAGGGCGTCCAGGTGAGAAACCAACCAGCCACCCAACCCTAACCAACCCACCTACCCACTTCACCAGCCGGCCACTCCCTGCATGTCATCAGGCCCCCAATAGTTGGGAAACATAACCCAATGTTGTTCAGACGCATCCTCAGGTTGTCATTCGGGCATCACCATTTCTCCTGAGACTTCGACTTGAGGGAAATAAACGAAATTTTTAACGAACTGACAACCCATCCCCTCGCCCCCCCCCACACACACACACACGTGAATCTTCTGTTACTACAACCATGCCAGGTATTACGTCACACCTGGGGGTAATCTCATTGTCTCCCAACAACACAATTGTCGTTAAAACAGCACTACTAGAAGACTGATACAAATTGAAGATATTAAATCTTTTTGATTGGATGACAAATATGAGAGCTTTAATGTTGATTTTTGTTTTTTAAATGTTTTAAGCTTATTTATATGGAGATCAGTAGGGATGGGAGAGAGAGAGAGAGAGAGAGAGAGAGAGAGAGAGAGAGAGAGAGAGAGAGAGAGAGAGAGAGAGAGAGAGAGAGAGAGAGAGAGAGGAGAGAGAGAGAGAGAGAGAGAGAGAGATGGGAGGTTCAAGAGGAAACTGATCATTTACCTAATCTTAACATAACAAGAGATCCACACAAGGACTACCTTCATATCTTGTGAACCACAATTTGTTTTCTGTCCACAGTACGCCTCTTCCTTCAACTTCAACCCGAACAAGTTTATGCTGACAAATTTTGACTGCTCACTCATGTGGTAAGTGAAGACCCTTATGTACATTTGTCATGAAATACAAATGTGAATGAATAAGCAACATGAACAATATACAATAACGATTTTAAATATTTAACTATGAAATAGATTATACAAAACAGGGGCAAAGGTCTATACAAGCCTACCGAATACAGCAGGTGATAACACCGGGTGTCAAACAGTTAATTATGCAGCTTAAATTGGGTTGTGACACAACTTCGTTTATCTTGATGCATTTGTTTAGCACTGCGCGCGTGTCTAGCCCTGCAGCTGTACTCACCTAGTTGTGCTTACGGGAGTTGAGCTCTGGCTCTTTGGTCCCGCTTTAATACAATGTGTTTGATTCTACAGGGTGAAGGACAGATTCCGCCTGACGCAGGCGTTGGTGGTGGATCCCCTGTACCTTCAGCACTCTTACTCAGAGAAGTCCATAGACTATAGGGTAAGCCATCACGCCCCCAGCTGTTTTATCCTGCTTCTTCTATCCAATCCCCCCCCCCTCTCCCTCCTTCCTCTACAACTCTCCTACTATTCCTCCTCCGTTGTTGATTTAGATTTAGCTACTCAGAACAAAGTGTCCATGTAGCACGGACTATGGTGAGCCCGTAATTCCTCCTCCTTCACCCCCTACCTCACGTACTGCATCTTCCACTCCTCACCTGTTGCATCTCCTCCTCCCTCTCACTGAAATAGTCCTACTCACTACAACCTAATCCCATTTCTGAACATTTGTATGCTATTTACCTCAGGCGAGTAACCTGTTTAGAGGAAATCAGTTCTTGTCACTTTCAGGGTCAATAAACACCCCATCTCACAAATTGCAGAAAAACTGACAACCAGTAGACATGACCTCTTGAACCATTTGGATATTATTTAGATCAAACAAAATTTCAATTTTCTGGTTATTGAATTAAAATATTTTTCCAGGACACCTCAGCCAATTCAGGATAATATTGGAATTCGTTTAGTTGTATTTTTAAAACAAACTCGAGATAAAAAAAACACAGGGACTGTCCAGCTTAGCGGTAGAGAGGTTGCTCATGTATTTTTCTGTGTTCTCAGCACTGGGGCATCCCGCTGAGCAGAAGGTTCAGAGCGCTCAAACTGTGGTTCGTGATCCGGTCGTTCGGCGTGCAGGGGCTCCAGAACTACATCCGCGAACACTGTCGCCTTGCCAAGCGGTTCGAGTCCCATGTGAGGAAGGAGCCCAAGTTCGAGGTTGCCAGCCCCGTGCATCTAGGCCTTGTCTGCTTCAGGTGAGCTCTCAACACCCTACTCCTCCTCCCAGACCATCCTCAACACCCTTTTCTCCTTCCAGACAAACATTCACTCGAAATTTGCTTCGTTCACTTTCAGGGCGTTTTGAAAGAATTTAAAAATATCAAAGAGCCAAAACACATTACCTAACCTTACCCAGGCATTGTCTGTTTTTAGGTGGTAAATATTCAATAATATTTGATCTTGCCTCAAACATATTTTTGACTCTTCTTATAACCTATCCCACAGTATAGCCTAGCATCCCTTACACTTTCCAAATGATTATTAACTCCAGCACTAGTCATAAGCAGTAATAACAGCTCTTTGAATTAACTTGTTGTTAATTCTAGATTGCGAGGGTCTAACCAGCTGAACCAGAAGCTGCTGTCATCCATCAATGCCTCAGGGAAGCTTCACATGGTGCCCGCCTCCCTCAACGACAAGTATGTCATCCGCTTCTGCGTGTGTCGTCAGACTGCTACTGACGAAGATATTGGTAAGCTGCCTCAACCCCCTCTTGAAAACTTTATCTACAATATTTAATTATCCATTTTATAAACAAAAAGAAAATCTTAGACATGGTCAAGAATGTATGTACAAGTTTATACCTCAAGTGTATTGTGATAGTGTACTCATATGAATAATTAGAGATGTTTCTTAATGGAGCTCAGATCAGAAATAATCAGGGAAAACCAAGTAATGACACTTCTAACCTAACCTAACTAGCAGGTGGTGATATTCTCCAGCAAATCGTGACACACACATTCAAACTTGAATGTTTGAATGCTAGGCTTTCGTATATGTATATATATTTTTTTATAAAACGCTAACATAAATTTACACGAATGTAGACATACCTAACGACATGTATCTCTGTCCACAGATCACGCCTGGAACGTCATCACACAGTTCGCTACAAACATACAGGATATCATGGCAGCCGAACTTGTCGAGAGGAACGAGGTAGGAATCACGTTGCTAATGGTTGATAGTGTCAGCGAAATGTCTCCCCAATGTGTACAGTTGTTATTTAGAGCTTACATAGTCTTCCCAGACACAGCAGTACACCGCGGGAAAGCTCTAAGATAGAGTTTCGTAGCCTATAGATCATGATAGGCGCGCCCAAAGCTCGCGTGCCATTCTGGGCACGCGAGCAAATTTTGCTAGGCCAAAAAAGAAGAGGAACGCATTATTCAACGTATTAATGATTTGATTAATGGTTAATAGTACCAAATTCTACTGTTGTAATTGTCCATTACGTTAGTTTATGACTGATGGTCCACGTGGTACAAAAAAATACTATCTAAACAAGAGGATGGGCTGAATACATACTGTATATTACACTGCTTCATCACTTTTGTCATTGTTTATTTCCATACAGATGGAGGACACGGTGGAGAACAAGGAAAAAGCAGAGAAGGAGGCCGAGGAGAACACAGAGGACGTGTTCAGGATGCTGGACGAAAAGAACAAGAAGAGTCTCAGATACAAACGATCGTTCTTCGTGCGCATGGTCTCGGACCCTAAGATCTACAACCCTAAGATTGTCAGAAGTCTTCCCGGTGAGTCCTCAAGCCCCTGTACAACGTGGCTATTCCTTTGTCAGTTGCAAGGAGTTTTGTCTGTGGCCTTCAATGTTGAATAAGATCCTTGATGATGAATACACAGTTTGTGAGATTACTGATTAAAATCATAATAAATTTTAGATAGAATCACTAGGCTTCTAATGAATATAAAAAATATATTCTTTGAGTTCCGAGTCTATTTTGCCTTCAAAATTACAAGCAAATGCTATCGCGTACATTCATAAGCTGTAGGATGTCTTGTAGTAAATACTTGTAGTGCAGACGAGGAGTCATAATAACGTGGCTGAAATATGTTGACCAAACCACACACTAGAAAGTGAAGGGACGACGACGTTTCGGTCCGTCCTGGACCATTCTCAAGTCGAAACGTCGTTGTCCCTTTACTTTCTAGTGTGTGGTTTGGTCAACAAAATACTTGTAGTTTTAAATCCCTCTCTCTAGAGGTATTTTGACCCCCTGGGCTGACTAGCGTTTTTACATTGTAGGAGCCGGCACCACCAGACGCCACACTACCTCAGATTCTTCAGACGAGTGCAACCTTCCCGTCAACTCCCCGACCATGTGAGTTACCGTCTCGTCCACTCCTCATTGATGTGGCATGTGTGGTTGTGTTAGAAGTTGGGTGCCAGGAGTCATCATGCATTTACGCGTCCACTTACGAAATCTCTACATCTTCCCTCGATCACGACAGCTTTAGTCTATATTATTAAACCAATTTACGAGCTTCAAAACTTTACATGCCAAAGTTATTATTGTTATAAACAACCTCGTTGCGCTTCAGTTCATAAATTGTTTCACTGAATGTAAACAACCGCTATGGCCGAGGGAAGATGTACAGGTTTCGTAAGCGGAAACTTGTGTACTTGACTAACCCTCTCCTTGGGCTGGTCAGTTGACACCCGTTGTTGAGGTAACGTAAATAACGAATCAGAGGATACAAACAACGGCTTGCAACTTGCTAGCCTAACGATGTCTGCTTTCCATGTTAAATGACGTTCTTAGTTGTGTGCTTGCATGTACTAAGGGCTTTCCAACCACACATAAGCTGCGGTGACGTGTAGGGCTGCCGCTATCAACACTACTAATCGGCTGTCTAGATAAATACAAAATAAGGAGGCATAAAGAAAAGATTACCCAGATTAAAATATTAAAAAGAGTGGAGGGGGGGGGGTGAAAGCAATATTATGGAGAGGAGTTGGCTTGGTGTGAGTGGGGGACGCTAGGGGATTAAGCCAGCTAGCTGCTTGTCGTGGGTCCCAGAAGACTTTGATATAACCAAGGCTTTTATATAACCAGGGCTGTTATATAACCAAGGCTGTACATAACCAAGGTTTTCATATAACTAAGGTCTATATAACCAAAGCTTTATTTAACCAAGGTTATATCTAACCAAGGCTTTCATGTAACCAAGGCTTTTATTCAAGTTCAAGTATGTTTATTGAGACATGAAAAAATACATCTCAAAGGGATAGAGTAGCTTAGGCTATTTCTACCCCTCTAGGCTTTTAGTACATTTGACATCTGGGCATCATGACCTTGTGTTCGAGTCCCATAGTCTACAACAGGGATATACGAGCATGGCAATACGTTATTGACCAAATATCAAGTAAACTAAGGTCCGGAACATAGTTGTGGACTGTCGTAAACTCGGTGTAGAGGCAGCGACGTGTGGATGTACATCTTCCTGGGTTTGGTGTGTGGGTCAAGGGTCTATATCAACCTGTTGAAGGTTACTGAGGCAAGCACAATAGCTTACTGACCAACCCGTGAAAGTTTAGTCATGAACATAGTCCAGAACTGCATTAAATACTCAGTGTATATACAGTGACAAGCGGGCTACACCTGTGTGAGTGAGTGTGTGTGGTGTGTGTGTATATATTCCCTGCGCCCTTGTCTTAAGACAATCTCGTCTCATGCTATTGATACTGTTAATGGCTCCAAAGAGCCTCCACTTAAGGGCTATTCATGCTCGTGACACCTTTTGGGTGGCTTAATTTTTATCATCATCTTAGACATTAGGCTTCACGACTATGGTGGTGGTGGTGTTGTAACCGACATTAACCTTCATATATATTAGTTTCACATTTAGTACTTTCTTTTGTTGTATTTTAGTGTTATGTCTTACATAAAATAAAAAAAATGAGCACGAGATTGTTATGAATTTAGTTTAAATTACTTTTTTATTTTTAGTGTAAATTTTAAGTTTGCGTGCGAGAACATTTTCCAGACGTCAATTATCTTTGTGTGAGGAGAAACTGTGCATGCTTTACAGAATGTTGCTAGTCTGGTGTATTTTATGAGTTGCAATATGTATCTCTGTCGTGTTGTTGACGTGTTGCATGCCCCACCACAGTGACCAGGATACCCTGACGCAGCTCCTGCAGCAGACCAACCTCAAGGAGGTCTTCAGTGATATTGAGACCAAGTACAAGTTCATCACGAAGACCACCAGTGACCTCTCCGGCCGCCTGCAGGCCTGCGAGAACTTACTCAACACAAAAGAGAGTGAACGCCTCAAGTGACACGTGCGCCAAGGTCACGCAAGGTCAAAAAGAAGATAAGAAGCTTATGATAAGGAGAATCAAGATAGTTCCGTGTCACGAGGTCAAGGACCTGGGTACGGAGGATATCATGGGATATAACGTAAGGGCCAAGAGCCCATGTCCTTGAACACCCACACACACACACCGCGGTAACTACCTATCAATACATATCACGACAATCAACAATGACTATTCTAACGCAATGCAAAAACAGTTTTCACATGAACATATCCTTCCTTTTAAGCTGTTTTATATTTAATTCTTATCTCACGAAGTGTCCTTGTGCTGATGACTGAGGCCTTCTGAGAACCACACGCTTTTCTAGTTGTTTTATTTGTACTTGTGTGAATGTTTAGTGACTTGCCTCTTAACAAATGTATTATCAATGTATACACTCAAGAGTATGAGGCTCCCCTCCACGTATACCACTTCACAAGACCGTCTGGTACGAGTCTACAGTAAACCTGTGTATACTTCGTCACTCCCGCCTCTCATACACTGTCCGCTGTAAACTGTGATATAAACAATAAATGTATAGTTTTTTTTAAACAACAATTGTTGCCAGCGTTCTTCATTATACCCAAGTGACAGGCACGGAGGCCGTTGTGCCGGGTTCACGGAAGTGGATAAAAGAGAGAGATGAATAAGAACCGGGAACACCCTCAAGGCAGTTAGGGGTGGTTTGGGGGGGGGGAGAAGGGGAATGACAATGGGTATCTAGGACACTCAGAAAAAAAGCACAAATGTGAAATATATACTTGCAGAGGTGCGCAAACACGCACGCACGAACACATATACAGAGAAATTAGAAAGAACTTTTTTAGTGTCAGAGTGGTTGACAAATGGAATGCATTAGGAAGAAATGTGGAGGAGGCTGACTCCATACACAGTTTCAAGTGTAGATATAATAGAGCCCAATAGGCTCAGGAACCTGTACACCTGTTGATTAACGGTTAAGAGGCGGGACCAAAGAGCCAGAGCTCAACCCCCGCAAGCATAATTAGGTGAGTACATTATGGAATGCATTAGGCAGTGATGTGGTGGATGCTGACTCCATACACAGTTTCAAATGTAGATATGATAAAGCTCAGTAGGCTCAGGAACTTATACATTAGGCGATTGACGGTTGAGAGACGGAACCAAAGAGCTAGAGCTCGACCCCCGCAAGCACAACTAGGTAAGTACAAACAGACACGAGGCCTGGGGTCTGGTGGCTGAGTAGACAGTGCTCGGGGGTCGTGGTCCTAAGGACCCGGGTCGATTCCCGGCCGAGACACAAACAAATGGACAGCTTTTTTACCATGCTATTGGTTCGTTGTTGTGGAAAGGCCTAACAACCTCAGGACGGTTATTAAGACCACCGCAAGTGCTCAGTGACCAACCTGCGTGCATACTTCAGTCTTGAACATTGTCCCGGACTTTGGTCAACCCCTCAGTGTACATGCTTCGAGAAATGGGGTATACCAATGGGTGTATCTTCTTGAAGATACCAATGTATCGTCTACCTCTTCTAAAAAGAGGGGAAGTGCAGGAGCCTATCCCCAGGCCAGGCTCGTGGGAGCGGCGCCCGGCCTCCCCACACGCTTTCATCAACAAACTGTGCATTAAAAACTGATTTGTTCTCAAGTTAATATTATTATTATTATTATATACTGAAGTTCTATGTATAGTTGGGTATAAGTTAGATTAGGTGTTTAGGTTCTGCGTGGTGGTTGTTTGTGTTTGTAGTACGTGGGTGAGGCATTCAGGGAGGTGCGATTCGAACACAGTTATCGAAGCGCTGTTCGAGAAATATTCGAACATCAGTTGTGAGTCTTGTGTAAACTGTTTTTCACTCATAAACGGGGGTTTAGTGGCTGAATTGACGAGAATTTGACCTTCGTTTATGAGGATGGGCTGCCGGCAGATCCCCCCCCCAACTGTTTATGAATTAAAGTACTCACATCTTCGAGTTACACCTAAATGCTTCACATACATACTACAGCCATCCATCTTCATCAACAAACACCAAATGCTCATTAATCCAGTCGCCAACCAGCTGTTTATGAATGACAAGCACTTTACACACGATTCATAACTGATGACGTTTGAACATTTCTTGAACAGTGCTTCGGTGACCTCTGTTCGAATCGGAACTGTAAATGCTTCACCCGTTTGATGTCTGATAAAGATTAAGCCACCCAAAAGGTGGCACGGGCATGGATAGCCGTAATGCTTCACCCAAGTTCTTTCTGTATAAATAATCGCCAACAGAACCTAAACACCTAACCTAACTTACGCCTAACTATATATAGTACTTTAATATATAATATTAATATATATAATTCAATAATAAAGTGCGCAAGATCATGGCACAGTAACACACTGAAATCACAATAGCTTGATGCATCAAATGAATCCTGCTCACAGAGTTTGTGAATCCTGCTTCACAGTTCCTGCTCACAGAGTGTGCATCTGGAGTGCTCGGGAACGGGAGATTCAACACATAGGAGGCCTGGTTGACGACCGGGCCGCGGGGACACTAAGCCCCGGAAGCACCTCAAGGTAACCTCAAGGTAAGGTAACCTGTAGCCACCTGCCACAGGCAACCAAAGCCCAACCTGTTCCTGGTAACCACAGTATCGCACTGCCTGGTGGACATTTTGCGCTGCGCTTATATACAAGTATCAGATTTAAACAAACTATGTTTTGTATACTAGTGCTTTCAGGTCTATGAGAGTCTGCAATTTCACTATCAGACCTGAAAGTTTGGAGCAATAAAATCTTAACAATACAAAAGGGGATATGTAAGTTTAGTTCATCTTCATCCTTGTAATATGATAAGTATTGTAAATGTGTGGCCAAGTCTGTGGTTGAAATTAAAAACTACTCTGAAGTGCCTGAAGGTATGAATAAGGCGCCCACTTGATTGTCCTTGTGGGGGTTGAGCTCCGGCTCTTTGGTCCAGCCCGTGAACCTTCAGTCATCTGGTGTACACGTTCCTGATCGTACTGGGAGAATATTGGAATAACATCCTGTATTATTTAAAAACATTTCCCGTGCCGGGAATCGAACCCGGGCCTCGCGGGTGAGAGCCGCGTATCCTAGCCACTAGACAACACGGGATATGGAGCAAACAAGGTTAGCACAAATATTATTGCTGCCTTATGGTGACCCTCAAATTAATGCCCCACGTTAAGTTGAGTTTTTTGTTTTAAATCTTAATTAAAACCCTAATAAAATGTCGTATATCGGGGTTAGGGACACGTGGAGCACCTTTATAGTTATCGACATTAGAGCCCTACCAAAGAGCGAGCCTGTTCGCATACGGTCACCCATCCAGCGCCTGCCAGACTCGACAGTACTTAACCAACTAATGGAGTGTCGAGCTCATCATTCTCTGCACAAAGTCATTAGGAAGTTTTTGCTGTAAATGGATATTCAAGTATCTTGTGAAAACAAAATTTGTAATACACAATCTAAATTTTTACCAAAAGAAACGCACGAGAACAAATTTGTGAATATAAAATTGTTTTCCGCATAGTTAACCGTATCCCGTGTTGTCTAGTGGCTAGGATACGCGGCTCTCACCCGCGAGGCCCGGGTTCGATTCCCGGCACGGGAATGCTTTTCCACGTAGCTACCTGATGCATCTTTCAACTTTCAGCGATGAAAGAACAACCAATTATAAACGCGGAGAGAGGACACGTGGTACCACGTGGAAAAGTGGAAAGCTACGTGGAAAAGCATTCCCGTATCGGGAATCGAACCCGGGCTCAACAGTACCCAGGAGAAAGTACATGATCAGCATCTACTTAATTGGTCTATCTTGGTTATCTTGAGATGATTTCGGGGCTTAGCATCCTCGCGGCCCGATCCTTGGCCTGGCATGTTTATAACTGGGTCAAACGATTTGACCACCAGTCTTTATTTAACTGGTTTTGATTTATTTAACTGATCCTGTGTGATCTAATTTCCTGTGATTATTTAACTTTGTGTATGTAATCACCTAGTTGTGCTTGCGGGGGTTGGGCTTCGGCTCTTTGGTCCCGCCTCTCAACCGTCAATCAACCGGTGTACAGTCTTTGCTTAGTCACCTCGTTCATCATTGGGAACTGTCTTAATATATAGATTTAAAAAAAAATTATTTAAAAATATTTACGTATCAATACATAGGTTGATAGTGAGGTCTACCCCTTTATCCCTCGCCTAGTAGCCTTGTTGTACCTATCGTCTTATAAGTGAACTAATCTGGTCTTAAAGTTATGGATGGAGGTGGCTTCCTCAACTTCTTCTTTCAGTAAATTCCACTTGTTGGCCACCAGTACAAGGAATGAGTATTTCCTTACATTTCTTCAGGAGCTAGATGGTATGGTGAAGAATGTATTGTGCCTTATATATATGTATATACATATCATTAGAACTTTCCAATGACTTGGTGCAGTATATGATGAGCTTGTGGGCCAACCGGTTGGTTAAGCACTGATGCGTCTGCCCAGTAGTGGATGGGTGACCATGAGGACCTCCTCTCCATAGCAATTGTAGTCTATCATATCTTTGATTAGGGTTTAATTAAAGACAGCAGGAAATCTTGTGGTTCTACACTCATATACTTGAAACACATCTGTCAGTGACCCTCAGGTTAACATGGCAAGTTTAGACAGCGAAACAACTGTCTTGAGTTAGAAAAGTTCTGAAGATGTACTCTCATATCCCGTGTTGTCTAGTGGTTAGGATACGCGGCTCTCACCCGCGAGGCCCGGGTTCGATTCCCGGCACGGGAAGATTTTTAAATAACCAATACCATGATGATGAAGTAGCTTTGTACATTACTTACAGCAGTACATTACTAAGTACATTACTTAGTACCTCCGTCGTGAGGAACTCCACTCACACCTTCAGGCACCTCACAGTACCTGGTCGTTCACTCACACCGGCAACACATGTAGTGACGTTTGTACTGGCTCAAGTCAACAGTCAGGAGGATTGTGCTTGTGGATGAAAGGTATTGTGGAAGAGGCAGTGGAAGGAGGTATTTATTTTGGGATAAAGAGCTTGGGATAAATGGGGTGGATGAGAGGTGGTAGAAGGAGTCTCAATGAGCTGGGATTACAGAGCTTGGGATTGGGATTTATGTTTTTTTTAAGGGAGGAGGGGGTGTTACGATGTTGGTGACGTCTGAAACACAGAGATTACGACCGATTCAAACATACTACGACCGTCTGAAACATACTACGAGCGTCTGAAATAGATTCTACGAGTGTCTGAAACATACTACGAGCGTCTGAAATAGATTCTACGAGCGTCTGAAACATAGTACGAGCGTCTGAATCACAAATATTACGAGTTTCTGAAACATTGTGACGAATGTCCTGGAGTGCAAGACACGGGAGCTCCTATAGTCATGGGATGATTTTTGAGACTGAGCAAGTTCTCGAGGAAACTAATTCTCGAAGACACCGATAAGTTTTCAGGAAATAGTGAAGTTCGCGAGAAGAGAATGTTGCTAATCCGAAGTGGGTTACGCCAACTAAAGTCTTGATTAAATAAGGTCGTAAGGGACATAAGGGAGGTCATAAGA